AGTGAAAGGGGGCGCCACAAAAATTAATAAAAAAAAAGTGAAGTCCACACGGAACTAGTTTTGGAAATATGTCAAATTTTTAAATATATCAAAATTTATATTTGATTTTGGCAATCCTGAAAGTTGGTGGCAATGTTTAAAGAAATGAAACCTAGATCGAGATCGATGGAGAACTTGACAAATAATTTTTTTTTTTTGGAAAAAATGCCTATTATGCAAGATTTTCAAAATATCGGTCTGAAAGCCATTTTTTTTTCATTCTGAAAATTGATATATGTATGTCATATTGGCGATTCTGGAAAAATGGTAGGAATTTTCGAAAAAACGAAGCCTAAAACACATTCTAGAAATATTAATCTACAGAAAAATCTGTTTAGGTACAAATTTTTGGATTGGCAACTTTGAATAATTGGCAGCAGTGTTAACATGTCAGTTCACAGTTGTCAATTTTGACATGAACGCGCCCAAAAAAGGGGGCGTTAAATATACACTTTAAATGTGAAGCATATGCAACCAACAATACTCTCTGTAATAATTAAAAGCATATACCGTATGATGTTTTAAATTTGACATAAGGGGAAACTCTGGAAACCAAAGATGTGAAAGACGTAGGGTGTAGTCAAGACGTACTTTAATTAATTTAACCTCAATTACTGTCAATGACCGTGACATTTATTAAAAAAAAAAATTATAATGCACCTTACGTTTTTCACGTATGGTAGCTGCCAAGATAAGACTGATTTTGGCAAATGAGATACCCTCTAAGAGAAGAGAAGGTGGGTGGGCGGGGCTATCACCTGCTAAAATAAGACCGATTTTGGCAAATGACATAATTAATATCAAGAAGCAGTTGTATTTTACAATATTTTGTTTTAATTACATAAACTACTGTAACTTGTGCTTTTTGTGCTTTAAACAAAAAATATAAGAAATGTTAATAAAAATGGCAGTTACTGAATTGGTGTCCAAAATTTGAATTTGACATCAGGTATGCCATAATGAAATTTTAAAATATGTCGCCAACCGGAGAAAAAAGTCACACAAACATTAACAGTCACTCGGAACTTATTGAAAAATTGAGCTTTTGAGAACGTCAATTAAAAATCTGCAAAAAAAAGGTATATAGATCTCGACCAGCTGAATCGGAAAGCAGGGCATATTGTAGTGACCGAATTTGAATTAAAATTTCGCGCTGAAAAAATGTCGCGAAATCACATTCAATAAAAGAAATCGTTAAACATAGGCAACCATGTGCACGCTAGCGCTTTCTGGGTAGTTGAAGATCCTGTTGGGAATTTTAGTTAAAGGGTTGGCAGGGACAAGATGGCGGCTTGGTAGAGGCAAAGTCATTTAATAGATAAGGTTGCCACATTGGGATGCCATATTAATACGTCACAAGGGGCTCTCAAATGGCGCGAAAATTGCTCGTTTTAAATACTCGAGTAACACTAAAAACGGAAACTTTTAATCAAGTGACCGCTTCTACTTCGCAAATTTCAATCCTGTGTAAAGAACAATTTAATAAACCTCAAAAAAATGTTTTGCTGCCAGTAGAACTTGAAAATAACAAATGCGACACTATTAACTGATTTTTTTTATGCAAAAAAATCTGAAAATCTGCATTTACTGGTTTACTTTTTCCTTTCTAGTAATATATCAAAACATTTCATTTTAGCTTAAACACAAATACAGATTAAAGGCATCAGCTGATCGGTCACACCAACTCAAAATTACAAGTTACTAAAAATTCCCAAGTAATACCAACCTCATTTTGACGTCACATGGGGCTGACACCTATCCTCCCCCGTAAGCGATTTTGCCCACATACTCGTTTATGTGGTAACCTGTTCTCTATTAACTAACCTTGGGTAGAGGGAGGTAAAAGCGTCACTTTTGGGGTTTTTGCTGTGAGTGTAACCACGTGGTGAGCTAGCTTAGTTGGGTAGTTAATAAGAAGGAGAAAGCCTTTGTTTAACGAAAATTAAACGTAACGACGACAACACGGGCAGCTAATTCTTGCGGCTTTTGAAGCGGAAAAATGTAAATTTTTGACCCACGCAAACACGTGTAAATTTGATTAATTGTTTGTGAATGCACAGATCAGGTTAGGATTTTAATCGTTAACTGGTGCTAACACAATTTAACAGACATTAGATTTATTTAGATAAATCACTTACTAGGAGATTTCATGAAATTCACTTAGTCAGGATTCAGACTTTTTTTAACAAAGTTACGAATAACGTTTCTGGATGCTAATACAGTTAAATTAACAAAATTCATAATATCGTGGACTGACAGGGAGGATTAAAGATTTCTCTCCTTAGACAGTTATCATCGTTATCATCATCACATCACCGAGACGCATTTTCCTCGCAACGTGAATAATTTCATCACCGAGGAGTTTTCCTCGCAACCCCTGATGCATTTTGTGTTTATTTATTATGTGTTTTGTTTGGGATAAACAGTCCACAATATAAACCCTCAAAACAAATTGTTTTAAGTAACCAATCACTTGGAGCATGGCATAATGTAACATCATATAAATTCTTTGTTTGAATTGTTGATAAAGTGTGGCATAATTAAACATAATGTAAACTCTTTGTTTGAATCGTTGATAAAGTGTGGCAAATATTAATCTCATGTAAATTTGTTAGCTTTGCAATTTTCACCTCATACAATATTTCTTTATCTCACAATTTTAACTTTAGTAATTTTCTTTGTTGTATAATTTAAATTGAACGTAAATTTTCATGATCTGCAGTTTCTAACCTCACGTAATATTTTATCTGCACAAGTTTATTTCACACCAGATTTTTGTTTTTATAAATCTTTGCTAGTTTTTGTTTTGAAAATATTTTGTTGATTGATGTTTTCATCATATAAATTGTCTGATGTCCAATCTTAATCTCAAATAAGAATTATTTGTTTATTAAAATTTCACAAGATTGTATGGAGAATTTTAATGTTGTTTATTGCGCTTTTTAAAACTTTAACACTTGTTCAGTTATCGTTAATATTAGAGTTTAACATATAAATGGAATTGAGGTTAAATAACACAGAAACACGTGGTGGAAGCGGAGTGCGCGGTTCCTAGTCGAGCTGGCGGGATTTATTGCGCCATCTGCACAAAAGATGCAGGTAGAATAGAATTCAGGGGCGGTCGAGATGACGTAACGCTGTCGGCTTCTACCCCATAGCCGGGACCCAACTGCGAGTTTGCGACCGTAACGGCCGATTCGTTTAGGCATGTTCTTCGTGCTGATCGGCAGTGCTTGTGATAGATAGAATCTCTGTTGTGGGTAGGAGAACAGCCACGACCAGGAGCCCCAAACTCCGCTCGTGCTACAACGCCCCCTATGGGTATTTTTGTTGTGCTCTAGAATAAAATTGACATAGTTCGATTGCCTCAGTCTTATAGGGCTCTGGTGCCGCTGCCGCTGCATAGTTTTTATTTAAAATGTGATCTTTTTTTGTGTTTTATTTAGCGGTACTTTTCCAACTTTAGGGTCCACCACTTGCACCTGAACGCATCCCGCCATTTTTCAAAAACACAACGTAGGGTTCCATTTTGTCAGACGATCACAGCCAAGGTCAAATTTTGACTTTTTGAATTTTTCGTGGGCTTTCAGTTTTTTTTTTCACATGTCAATTTAAGACGGGATGTTTGGGTTATCACAGTACTTTTTGCAAAACGCTAAAAATGACGTATTCTGTTTTGATAATTCTAGAAAAATGGTTCGAATTTTTGAAGAAGTAAAAGCGTACAAAAAAAACTTCTGGATATCGAAAAACTATAAAAGAAATGCTTTCATTAACAAAAAAATAATACACTCATGGTCAAAAATATCGAATATTTTTATGCAACCCAAAATACATTCTCACAGGATTCTTCGTGCGTTTTTCATTTGAGTAATTTTTAAGACTCCCACTTCATTTTCGGGTTTAGCAGCTACTCGAAGTCTTGATTTTTTTAATAAGCGGCCAATTTTCTCATAGTTTTACTTCTAGTCGCCGCAAGCTTCTACTTGGAACCCTTCTGTTGGGATATCCCAATTCTCCAAGTAGCAATATCATGCCCGTTTTTTCGTAATTTGTACACATTTTACAACAGACTAACTATATGAAAGCTCACTAATCAACTTCAAGATTCTCAGATTTGTATAACTTTGTTTAAAAAAATATTCAAATGAGAATGTATTTTGGGTTGCATAAACACAATTATTACTTATTAATTACTATCAATACGGACGTTCTTCGTGAATCACCTTGTATTGCACAATACAACTCCTTCATTGGAAGCTTTCAAGGACCTTTTCTTGTATTCCCCGCCAATTTTATTGCTACATGTAAAAACAAATTCTAAAAAATATATATAAAATTAATGGTGCTCAAGTCGACCCAAAACCGGGTATTTTTATCTCAGAAAACACATCTGCCTTATTTTTACCGTTTGACTCCAGTGTTTAGATAAAAAAATCAAAGCTGCTTAAAACTGGAGCCATTTAACTGTGTATATATGACTATTCTTAGTTTGTTTAGATGTCCAGGGTATATAAAGATGTACATAATTTTTCTTTAAAATAATTTTTCGTGTAAAAAGCAATTAAAATATTTGAAAAAGTTATTCCGGCGCCTCCACCTCTTTTGTCAGAATATGTATTGGATTGGTCTAAGAAAAACGTCTTACCTGAAATTTTCGCAAAAAAGAAGTCGTTTAACAGGTGTGCATACTTTTTTCCTGCAATATAATTATGTAGAAAGTTCTAGATATTAAACAAAAATTGCTTTAATCCCGGCGCATCCACCAATCTACCAAAGTTATTAAAAATTTCTCAATATGGCCAGAAAGTCGCCTCCTTTTTGAAAATTCTCCCAGAATCACGAACTTTATAAAAAAAACACATCTCTCATTTATTTAAGTATGCAAGGAAGTACAGCTTTTGAATTTTAAGTTCCAAACTCAACAACTCGTCGACGCAACACAAAATAAAACACATTCCTGCTTTTATCGTCACTGTATTTCACAGCAATTACCACCAATAAAATGAGACTCAAAATCTTAAAAAAATCACACCGTCGAAAGTGAAAACAGGAAAAGAATGCATTGTCAAATTAAGTCAATAAGTATCAAACCGTACGACAATGGAATGTACATTAAACTTAATTCTATTCTAACGTAGTGAACACAAATTAATTCCAACTCTTTGGCAAATCGAGATTAAGTACAACTAAGCTTAAACGAAAAAAATATCACTTGAGAATTTCCATCACACTTACAATTGAGTCAAAGTAACAATATTCGTTGAACGAACGAAACGCCTACACACCTAGTACTGTCACGAACTAAAACAAATCTATACAGTAAGGGCAACACGTATTATATGTTGGCATGCAAAAATAGTATCTTCTTCATATACATTCAGTGTAGACTTAATTCTCCGGTATGCTCCTCAGCGTTCCCGACTCGTCGAACAACAAAGTGCACAAGATCGCCTGCAACCGATTCCGAGCCGGCTCGAAATTCGAATCCAGAGTGAGCGCGGAGCGGTGGAATGATATGGCTTCCTCCAGGTCCCCCATGGACGCAAGAATGTTACCCACGGTGAAATGGTTAACCACGAAGTTCGGGTTGCTTTTCAGAGCTAAGTACGCCACTTCTAGAGCCTCCCCGTTGAAACCGAACCTAAGAACTACAAATCAGCAACTAGAAGTACCCAAAACATGAACAACCTTTGCAAAACGTTGGCCAAACTGATCAGTGGCACGTCTTTCATGTCATCCGGGACGTGACTCAGGGCTAGCCGCAGACACACGATCGCTTCTTCGGCGTTACCCAAAACCCGCCAGTAGAGAGCAGCAGCGGTGGCTAGGAGCCACGAGGTAGTATTTTCCTGGAGGGCTAGCCCAATTTTGGCCCCCAGTTCTTCAACTGACGCTTTTTGATCACCGGCCATGATCCCCAACCACTCGGCTAAACTCCTATCGGGGGAAGCCGGGAATTTACTGCGGAGGATTTTGCTGGTGAGGTGGTTGAGCAGAGTTTCGCCGGGGTTGAGGTTGCCGTCGGTGCAGTAGGGTTTAGTACCGCGTTTCTTGGAATTTTTCGGCAGGGGTTTCAAGTATGGTCCTATACTGGAATGGCGATGGTACTTTTATAGGTACTATTGTGTGTGCTAAGAAAAGTCTTACTCTATGTTTCGCGCGGCTATCGACTGCCACATCGACGTGAAGTGAACCCAATCCGCTTCTATGATTTCTTTGCACCCGTGCGACGACAACGGATAAGTACCGGACTTATCGTATACGTGTAGTACCGTGTCGGACGCAGAATCGTCGCTAAACCCCACTGAAACCCTCGCTTAGACAGTGCATCCAAACCCGTCAGTCTTACCATAGAACTCCGGCGTCGGTCCCGGGGTTACGTGATCCTCCCCCAACAAAATCCTCATGTGGAAAGGATGCGGGTTATCGTTAATCCTTTCCAACTGCGACTGGTCCGGCTCACTATCGCCGGAACCTTCAGCAGCAATGATTGTGGAAATTAAAGAATGCTTAACTCCGCTTTTAAATTTGACAAAGGGACGTTTAAGGATAACACCATCTACACAATCAACAGAAAAAACTAAACACAGACCACACAGGATTAGTAATAGTACCTTCTTTCGTACGAAAACACTGGATAGATGCTGTTTTACAATCATCACCATTCGCTGAACATATCATACCTTGTCCTTTGAACGACTCTTTCTCGGAGCAAATCTCCTGGGGGAGCTTCTCCGCCGGCTTTTTCACGTTGTTGTAAGTACCCATCTTGATCCGACAGCCCCATAGCTTGAGCAGGAGTTCGGCTTGCCCGTCATAGAATTCCGAGTCCACACGAAGCACGTTCTTCATGTAGTACATGGCCATCAAGGGGTTACTTTCGTAGTGCAGCAACGCGAGGAGGAAGTTAGTACTCGGCTCCACGTAGTTGAGTTTGAAAGCCAAGTTGGCGTACTTGAGAGCTTGGTTTACTAGACCCACTTGGTGCACGATCGAGCCGATGGATATGAGGATGACGTCGGTTTGGTCCTTGGGCGCCGTCTTCAGCGCCAGGTCTAAACAATCAAGGGCTTTCCGCGTGTTGCCCCGAATCCGCCAATACAAGCTAGCGAGGGTCGACAGGACCCAACTGGGGGCGCTTTTCTGCAACCGCGCGATCGTACCACATTGTGTCATAAAAACGGGTTATCAAAGACGCTGTCGCTGACGAAAATTCGGGTTAATGCGTAAAGTTGAATTTTGGATGTTTTTCTCGGACGTTCCTCTCACAGCGATGTGTACCGAACGATATTGTGATTTAGACCGTATTTAACTCGTTTTGCGATACGTTCAGCGACTGCAACTGCGTCTTTGATAAACCAGCCTTAAATCCCACATACCCTTTCCAAGGCCGTAATGATCCGCTGCCCGATTTCCGCCTCATCCGCCTTCCCACTATTAACATACTTAACAAAGTGGCTTCTCAAGAACTCGTTGCTTTTAATCTCGTTATTAAGTAGATGCCGCTCTGATTGTTGCACGTACTTTTCGCCGAAAGCACTGGCGTCGTCACACACTGGCGGATACCACGGTAATTTGTGCTCAGACCCGTTGGGTAATCCAATGGCGTCCGCCAAAATCTTATGTATACTGCAACAACCCCCTTAAACCAAATCCACCCCGTCGCGGGAAACTTACTCGTAACCTTTATTCTCCGGCGGAAGGAAAATCGGCAACTTCAAATCCTCCTTCTCGTTGATTGGCAGATTCCACTTCCGGCACTCCTCTTCGTGCGGCCACCCCGCCACGTCGAAGTACTTCTCGCCGGAAGTTGACATCGTGGTGGGGAACTTCGGATAGGTTTGCGGCGTGCTCTCATAATTATCTTTATTTTTGTCATCGACGCCGGTTAGACGGTTAGTTTTAGCCATGCGTTCGTTGATCTTCTGGGTTTCTGATTCCACGTACTGGAACAGGTTCTGGAGGTTCATTGTGTCGAAGTCGGCGATCGGACTGTCGACGAAGTCGCACGATATCGTCGATGATTTCTTCACGCATCGTTGGCTTTTTTTGCCGAACATCGACTCTAGTGCTTCTTCTTGAAAATTACCTAACTCTTCGTCGTACGAAGAGTGTTCCCACATCAATCTTTTACTAAGTCTGAGCCAGTGCTGCTGAAGACTATGAAAGTCGTGCAGATCGGACAAAATACCCTGTAAGTACCCTAAAACATTTCTTCAAGACTCTTAAATGACGATTTAGGGCGGTCATAAAAATACTCACTCTTGGAAATCGATCAGATGGGTTTCAAGCTTCGAGAAACAAAGAGTTGCTTGTTTAATCGCGTTCACGTCATTGTGCTCCGGCTCGAGTTCCAAAAACTTATCATAGTAAGTAATGGAGTTGTTATAGTCACCCATCGCGAAATAAATATTCCCTAGAGCTAAGTAATGCAGCGCCTGCTTAGGAGCGTACTCGGTTGCCGTATGGAGCATCAAAGCGGCCTCCGACGACCGCCCCGACTTATGCAAAATCCCCGCTAGATTATGCAAAGGAATGTCTTTATACACAGGTGGTACGAAAAGCAGCGCCCTCCTGCTACAATCCACCGCTTTAGGCCCGTTCCCCTTGATCCTCCAATACAACGCACCTAGATTATAGTGCACCCACGAGCTCGAGTTCTTCACCAACTCGTTATGAATCTCGTGCCCGAAAAGCTGGACCGATTTCATCGGCATCAACTTCTCGAGGGATTCTTCGGGGGCCGAAGTGACAATGTTGTCGATATGTAGGGATGGAAATTGCTGGTACTCGGGTAGGCTGAACTCGATTTTACTATATTTATTACACTCGGGTACTTGATATATCGTAACGTCCTCTTTTTCGGTGGTCAAGTCGACCTTAACCCTCTCGCTTCCGTTGGTCGCTATATTGTACAAATCCACAGTGTTGGCGAGTTTGCCGTTCATCAAACAATCGGAGTTCTTGAGGGCCATTTTCGATTCCATCCCGGGATTGCCCTGGAGGTTCGACCATTTTTCTTCGATTGTGGATTTGCGGGTCATGAGATCTTGGAGGACTGTCTGGATTTCGTTCCAGCGCTTTTCTTGGTCGAGAAGAGAGATCAAATCGTAAGGACGGCGGAGATCCAGGGGCGAACCCACCTGGGAACAAAAGGAGGACTATGTTATTTTAAATAGAAAAATTTACAACAATTCGGAGATTATCTGCCTAACGAAACACAGACGACAGACAGACAGACACACAGACAGAGAGACGACAGACCAATTTCTTAAATACAAAAATAAACAAAGTGAACGCGATGAAAACATTTACTTTAAAATCTCGGTGGTTTCATCCAAAAGAAATTTGTGCAGCGTTGAAAATATCATTCGTACTATTTTTAGCAGCACGTGAGCACAGTCAGAATCCCAAATGGTGTTTACATCGTCTATTCTCTGAATGCAACCAGACAGAAATTTTATAGAAGGATTATTTTTTCTGCTTCAGAAAATTTCGTGTTGAGTTTCCCGCCTGGAATTAAAAATGAAAAACGTTTATTTCGATTCGGATTTATTTATTTAACGTGGTAGGAATTCACTTTAATTTCTAAATTGGAAAGTGCAGCGATCCAGTTTAAATCGAAATGTTACACTAATGAAGGAATTACAGGCCAGAGTGCATTGCAACCACAATTCTCAAACAAAAAACAATCGTTATCACAAACATTCCATCAAATTTTATTTTTTGATAAATAAAAAACAACACGTACTTGAAATTATATATTTATTTATAGTTATTTAGTTTTTACAAGGTTCAACGTGCAACCACACTTAGTGAACTTGAAAATAAATTTCGTAACCAGAAAAGAGTGAGTCACGCTCTTTTCACAAGCGTAACAGTTGCTCCTTTTCAGTCGACATTCAAGTCCCCAAATAGAAGTAACATTCAACAGATTTATTATCACAGAGAAACGAAAGGATCCTTGAAACATAAATGAATCAAATTATTCGTGATAAATATCACAGGTTTATCTAATTTTTGAGTAAAAGTTGTTTGTACAAAAAGTGATACAACGCTAACAGTTTCTATAAAACTAGATAAAACTTGAACACTCTTCCATCTCGTTCGTTGTATCCAACTATAATAAATGCACATTTTAAAAATACTTGTTTTTCCGGCTTTTCTAACAAACAATAACACGTAGAAAACACACTTGTTACCTTGCACGATTAACCCCTGATTTCGTCCGCTTCTTGATAACAATTTCGGTAAACGTCACAACGGTCATCTCTAGGATTTTGGGGTCACATCTCTCTCAAACGGAACCCAAAACCAACATGCAAAACCAATAAAAATAATCAACACGTGACCCGACGTTCCTTTCTAATTACCAAAAAACTGGCCAACTTTCCGTCGTTTTTTTGTCCAAATCGTATAGCAACAACATTTGAGCAACCTTTAACACATGAATATGCATTATGGAACGTAAACACAATTATCGCCCCAAACTTATCAGGTATCGGACTGACGCAACTCAAATCAGAAGAAACGTGGTTTTGGGGTCCCGCAGACGCGAATTCCGTCGCCAAAAAACGCCCCCCCATACATTAAAACGCGATTCCACCCACGAGGAAGCTATTCCCCGAAAAATATAAAAACAAACGCAACATAACCTCGAATTTCGCGATTTTAGTTTTAGGTACTCACGTGCGACTGGATCATCCCTTTCTCCGTAACAACCCAATGCGTGGCCCCATCACCTTTACTTATTAATTTTAAAAACACGAAAAATATTGTCCACAACCTTAATATCACCATTTTTACAAATTTTCTGACATTTGTGTGTTATTCGACGCATGACAGATGCTGTCCGAGCAACATGTGTTGCGCAAGAACCAAGCCAACTTCGGGTGTGTAGTAATTCGTGTATAAGTGGTTGCCTAAGCAGCGAAAATGGCACACTCGCAAGTTCGCCAGAATTTCCACAAAGATTGCGAAGACGCAATAAATAAACAAATCAACGTTGAATTGAGTGCTTTTTACACGTACTTGTCTATGGTAAGATAGATAGCTTGTTTGCTTATTCGCTTGAAATTGCGCAGCTGGAAACTTAGTGTAACGTATTGATTTATTATGAAACCACACTGTAAACACGGCCGCTTCATGTTTTATTAATTATAGCTTACTTTTTTATCTTAATTATAAGCAATCAATCAGCTATTTAACAAAACATATCTGGTACTTTTCCGCCTGAAAGATTGTTTACTCTTGCGTAACAAGCTATAATTAAGCGCTTTCAGCGCAAGGTCAGTTTTAAAGCGAGCGCGCATTTCAGGCTTACCATTTTCAAAGGGACGATGTCGCACTTCCGGGCTTCTACAAGTACTTTAAGGCTTGTTCAGACGAGGAACGCGACCACGCACATAAACTAATGGAATATATGAATAAAAGAGGAGGGCACGTTATTTTGTCGGATATTAGCGCCCCTGCAAAGCAAGATTGGGGCACAGCGCAAGAGGCTATGTTTGCCGCACTAGAGCTAGAAAAGAATGTGAATGAGGTAAATTTTATGTTAAAACAAACACAAGTTTTAAAATTTAAATTATTGTAGAGTCTTCTTAATCTTCACAGTACTGCTTCTGGACACATGGACGTGAATTTGTGCGACTTCTTGGAAACTCACTACCTGCAAGAGCAAGTGGACGCTATCAAAGAAATCGCTGACCACGTTACTAACTTGAAACGCGTAGGGGAAGGTTTGGGGGTGTATATGTTTGATCAAACCTTGGGGGGCGAGCAAGAGTAAAGTCAATAATTGGGGCACGACGAGAGTATTTTTACATTTTATATATATAACGTGTCTTTACGTCGTACTAGTACTTTCTACCAGCTCAGAATGTCTGCTTGCACAATGGAATACGAATAACACTGTATTTTCCGACATACATACATACATACATACAATATGACATACACAACAAGATTTTAACGTCGTAGTGTGAGAATTTATAACCATGTATACACTTATAGAGTAAGTAGATGATGAAATTAATATACGGTATGTTTCACCATAATGCGCCAATGATGTATTGCTTGAAGGCGCAGGCGCGCGACGAATTGTGGTGAAATGATCTGTAGAATTAGATAATTGACGAGCGATGCTTTCGAGTCATTTTTAGCAAATAGCTAGAAATGCAAGTCAATTTGTGATTATCTTGTGATTGATGAGTAATAAACTGAGTCAATTATCACTGGATTTTTATTAGCCACGTTCAGATATTGCGGTACGGAAATTTAATTTCTGGATTTTTGTCACGCATGTACTCGAAGATCTCTCTATCGAATAGGTGCCTTCCCACGCCTCCCGTATCCACTAGTCGTTTGGCTTTGGTTAGCAGACGTCCCATTTCACAAATCGAGTCGTTCTGCAACACCTCGTTTTATTCAAGTATAAAAAAAATATCGCACAAACCTGTTCTTTCAAAAACTTGGACGTGATGAAGTCCGCAAGTTGCAGATCTTTGTGGCATTCAGCAAGCTGGACCACTTCTTCAAGTTTCTCCTTGACTCTTTTCTCCAATTCGATTGCCACCCCCAAGGCGACGGTTATATCCGTCCAGTTCATATCCTCAGGCACTGTGACGGGGTAGAGGGTCACTAAACCCCCACGCATCAACTGGTAGTCTATAAGAGAAAAAGCGTGCGTTTGCTCCTCGTTATACATGGCTCTAAAGAACGCCTGACATCCAGGAAGAGCTATGTCAGTTCTGCCGTAGTAGCAAAACATGGAAAGATAGATCATGCTGGCGTTTAGCTCTGACAGGATCTGGTGGTTGATGGCGCCTTCGAGTACTTCTGGATAACAGTGCCGGAAGACTTTATTTATGGTACTATGTTTTTGCGAGTCATCACCGGGTTCCTTGCAGTCTGACGTGAAGGCTTTGTTGAATGGGAGGAGGTTGTTGTGTCGGATGAAAGGTTTGAATGCGACTGCACATTTAGAAACGAAATTTTGGAAAGCCATAAAATATACAAAATTAAAATGTCAAACATTTGTCATTTGAATTAGTTTCGAGTTTTCAAGTGCTGAAAAATCCCCAAATGCGTCAAAGACTAAACGTTGTTACGCAACTAATTTTAGTACATTTTTTAATTTTCTACGTTTCGCAAAAATCAATGCGCGGGGCCGCTTTTTCCGGGCTCCGGTCCTGGCGCTGTGACGCAGCGCATGCGCACAGCTACCTCCTGCTAAATACGCACAAATGGAGGATTTCGTCCATCAAGTTCATTATGGGTAATTTCCCAACATGATTGTCCTACTTTCAAAATAGAACACTTGTAATACAAAATTTTCATTTTGTAGATAATGCAGACGAAGAACCGACCTTTCAGTATTACACGATAAAAAGCGAAGAAGACAATTTCGTTGGAATTTCGGATATATTGAACTTGCCCTCCCTTCCAGAAGATAATAGTTTAAATAATAAACAAATATTTTACCTGACTTTCGATAGTAATGAAGATGTTAAGGAGGAAGAAACGCAACCAGTGGAAGATATTAGTGTTGAAAATACTTTAAGTGAGTCTGCAGTGTCATACAATGAGGCAGATCTCAAGCTGATTACGCTGGATGATGGAAGAATATTTATGACCACAGGTGAGCTTTAGTCGTGCTTTTGAATGTTTAGTAAACGAATTCGTTGTAGATAAAAATTTAGGAAATCTTGGAGCACCATCTGTTTTGTTTGAGCCCTCAGAAATCCAAGAAAGTGTAGATGAAGGATCTCAGATGTCAAATGAAGAGGAATCAGTTGATAATACTGATGTAAATTTCCAACTTCTTGAATTGGATGATGGTTCCCAGGCTATTATTACTTTATACAAAATCAAGAATGATCCACCTAAAGAAGACCCACCGAAAAAAGTGAAGCGGTTTCAGTGTACTTATGAGGGTTGTAACAAAGTTTATGCCACCTCATACCATTTAACTGTAAGTCAGACACTCCAGTCAACAAATTAATATAACTTAATTATTTATAGGTACACATGAGAAGTCATACTGATTCCAAACCATACCAGTGTGACATAGACGGCTGTGAGAAAAGATTCTCAACAAACTATTCATTAAAAGCACACATTCGTACTCACACAGGAGAAAAACCCTACTGCTGCACCCTCTGCACAAAACAATTTAAAACCTCTGGAGATTTACAGAAACACTTCAGAATCCATACAGGTACCTGGTCACAACTGTATGATTTTCTTTTTTCTTATTTAAAATTTTAGGCGAAAAACCCTTTGAGTGTCCAGTGGAGGGTTGTGGACGGTCCTTCACCACTTCCAACATCAGAAAAGTGCATATAAGGTCGCACACGGGGGAGAGACCCTACAGTTGCAATTACCCAAATTGCGGAAAAGCATTTACGTCTTCGACTAATTATAAAAATCATTTAAGGATACATTCCGGGGAGAAACCCTACGTTTGTAGCGTGGAGGGGTGTGGGAAACGGTTTACTGAGTACTCGTCGCTCTATAAACACAATGCTGTTCATCAGCCTGTGCGCCCGCACGAGTGTATTTTTTGTGGTCAGCGGTTCAAACAAGAGTCCGCTCTCAATTTTCATAAGCGGCTAAAGCACAATGTTGTAGTCACAAAAGATGGTACTGAAATTATTGTTAAGATAGAGTAAAGGTGGTGTATGTGTTTAGACATTTTGTTTTTTTACTCAATTTTTACATGTAGAGTTTGTTTTAAACTGTACTTTATGGAGCAAAGGACTGTAATTTATAGGTATTGAGCAAATGTATGTTTACATAAATATAGATGTTATGAACTGGTGTGAACTTTGTGTTTTCTTATTCAGAATATTTTTTCCTGAAAATATGAAAATGATAATAACAAAGTTATATATAAAACAAAATTTTTTATTAAAATCAGAGCTATGCAACCAGTTATACACATTGACCTATGTCACGTTTAGTATGTTCGGCAGTGGCGTAACATACGATGTGTTTTAGGGTCCTGTGGGTTATCTTATTTTATGAAGGTGTGTCTAAACTTTTTACATTTGTTACTAACTGACTGTCTGCCCCGAACAAATCATTCTTTATCTAGTCTTAAACACATTTTTTCAAAAAATGTTTACCAAGGATAAAGATATCAGCTGATAAAATTTTTAACACATAAGACTGGCTTAAATCAGAAATAACAAAGTCTGCACCTTTTTAATTAGTCTGACAACTGTATTATTTTACAAAATTTGAAAAACATGGATGCGTCCAACCGATTTTACCAGTATTTATCGGCATCTACTGGTAAGTATAAATCTATCAAAAAATTGAGATACCACCCCCCGTAACTTTTAGCCTTGTTATCAATGATAACAGGTGGAATGCACTACGCTTGGCCGTCACCTTCAATTCCCAAACTAACACAAAATAACTCAAGTGCATTTCAAATTACCCCGGAGGAAGGATCTTGGATAATCATAATGGAACTAATAGCACCGATTCCATCATGTTTCTTTAGCGCCATCATCACCGACAACATCGGTCGCAAAAAATCAATTCTATCAACCTCTATTCCATATTTCGTTTCATGGTTGATAATAGCTTTCGCCAAATCTGCATCTATGTTATGTCTGGCTAGATTTTTGGCAGGTCTGTGTGACGGTGTTATTTTCACAGTCATGCCTCTATACATCGCGGAAATCGCGGACCCAAACATTAGGGGTTTTCTAGGGGCCGGAATATCAGTAGTGTGGATTTTCGGCATGCTGCTTATCAACGTGATAGGGGCATACTTGACCATCCCAGGCACAGCTGGTGTAAGTTCAGTGGTTCCACTTTTAATGCTAGCGACGTTTATCTGGATGCCAGAAAGCCCCTACTTTTTGATAATGAAAAATGATATCAAGCAAGCAACACTATCACTGCAGAAGTTAAAAGGTAGAAACGATGTTGAAGATGAGCTGCAAAGACTACAAAACGCAGTCAAAACGAATAACAAAAAGTGGAGCAACTTCTTAGAGCTGTTAACGAAGAAAAGTAACCAAAAGAGTTTGTTGATTATAGTGGTTTTACGAAACGCCCAACAGATGAGTGGTCTTGCTGCTATTATTTTCTACACGATATCGATTTTTAACGAAGCTGGCGATTTTATGTCACCTCTAGGTGCTACAATACTTTACGTGAGCATCCAGTGTGTTATGGCTGCTGTGTGCTCTCTTCTTATAGATAAAACTGGTCGAAGACCTCTTCTAACTACGTCTTTGGTAGGTTCGGCTCTAACTCTGTTCTTAGAAGGGACGTACTTTTATTTAAAAGATTTTACCAACGTGGATACGACTGTCTTTAATTTTGTACCCTTGTTGGCTCTTATAAGTTTTGTGATTGTTTTTAATGTAGGGGCACAACCTATTCCAATGTTGATACAAGGAGAGATCTTTCCGACTAATGTTAAAGCAATGGCGTCTTGTTTTTCTGAGGTGTACTGTTGTGTGGTGGCGGCTATAGTTTCCAAGTTGTTTCAAATCTTGAGGGATTCGTTTGGGATGTTTTTACCGTTCATTGTTTTTGCAGGTTGTTGTGTTGTTAATTTGATATTTGTGACGATTTTTGTTCCTGAAACTAAAAGGAGGACTTTGGAGGAGATTCAAGAGACACTTGGTGGGAAGAAAGCTGGTGTGAAGTGTTAGACATTAAATAATAAACGATTTTTTAAACAAGTGTATATTTAAATTAAGATACTTACCTAACGAAGCTTTGATCATATTACAACAAATGTTCAGCTGTGAACTACACTCACCGCTTCACTTTGAGGTGTAAATTGCGAATTAATATCAATGTCACCTAATTAGGTTGGTAACTTCCATTGACTGTAAAATAACCTTGACCAAACAAAGATAAATTAATTTTTAGTTTAATGATTGTAAACCTATTTTTCACTTTTTTTTAACAGCAACGATATTATTACAATACATTTGACGCAATAATGTATTTAAAAAAGTTTGACGACTGTGGTCATACACAGTTGATAAGATATGTAAATATTGAAGATAAACAAACTCATTAAATAGTTTTTGTTTTGCTGTTATATTAAAGATTTTGTGGGAAAAGGATTAGGAAATTTTCTTCGTACACAATGAATAAGTTACGCAAAATCTGAATTCCGTCCATAGTCCACATTTTGTTTTTATTAATCATGCTATTTTTAGACTCTACGAAATTAAGTGATAGTTACTCAAGAATTAGTGCAAATACTCTCATTATTATAAGCAAATTAAACTCGCAACAGATGTTAAACTTTAACCATGAGCCTTACACTGACAACCATGAACCAACCTAGACGACTCTACCAATACCTAACAGCCTTCACTGGTAGGTTTATGTTTACTATTATCACCTGTATTTACTACAGAAAAACTTCCAGCTTTACTTACCATCGTAACCAGCGGCTTACATTATGCTTGGCCTTCGCCCTCCATTCCCCAATTCATATCAGGGAACACCACCTCCTTCAAAATAACAAACGATGAAGGTTCCTGGATCATCATAATGCAACTTATAGCACCCATACCATCTTGCTTTCTTGGAGCAGCCATTATTGACGTAATCGGTCGCAAGAAATCGATTCTGTTGACAGCAATTCCTTACATGATCGGATGGTTGATGGTAGTGTTCGCCAAATCAGGAGTGGAACTCTGCATAGCCCGATTTTTCGCTGGTATTTCCGACGGGGTGGCTTTCACGGTCATACCACTGTACATTGGAGAAATCGCAGATCCAGAAATTCGGGGGTTGCTGGGTGCTGGTATATCAGCAACATGGATTTTTGGAATGTTGCTAATAAACGTGGTGGGGTCATACTTGAGCATTACCATGACAGCAGCCATATGCACAGTAGTGCCATGTCTTCTTCTGGCAACGTTCGTATGGATGCCAGAAAGCCCATATTTTTTGATATTGAAAAACGACATAGAAGCCGCTCGTTCCGCTTTGAGGAAGTTTAGAGGAAGAACAGACGTAGAAGAAGAGTTGATGAGGTTGGAAGAAGCCGTGAAGAATCAAAATAAAAGGAACGGGAAAGTTCTGGAACTGTTTACCAAAAAGAGCAATCGAAAAAGTTTGGGCATTATCACGGTTGTACGAAACAGTCAACAGATGAGTGGTGTGGCGGCTATAAGCTTCTACACTTTGACCATTTTTCACGAAGCTGGTGACTTTATGTCGCCTTTGTCTGCGACCATTCTTTACGTGGTCATACAGTGCGTGATGACGATCTTGTGCTCGATTATCATAGACAAGACTGGTCGAAGACCTCTTCTAATATCGTCACTCATCGGATCAGGTATTTGTTTGTTCGTCGAGGGAAGCTACTTCTATGTTAAAGACTTCACTGATATTGATGTTAGTTCTTTTAATTTCGTACCAGTGGTAGCACTTATAGGTTACGTCGTCATTTTTAATCTAGGTGCTCAGCCTATTCCTCTGTTGGTACAAGGGGAACTTTTTCCCACGAATGTTAAAGGTTTGGCGTCCTGTCTTTCCGAGGTGTATTTTTGTATTTTAGCGGCCATTTTTTCCAAGTGCTTTCAAGTAATGCGTGATCATTTTGGTATTTATGTGCCATTTTATATATTTGCGGTGTGTTGTATGATTAATTTGATTTTTGTGATATTGTTTGTGCCTGAGACGAAAGGGAAGACGCTGGAGGAGATTCAAGAGGCTCTTTGTGAGAGGAAGAAAGAGAAGGGAGGTGGTTTGGTATAGATTTTTAAGTAGCTAGTGATCAGATGAACAAAGTTATTTTGTACGTTTGATTTATAATCAATTTTTGTTCTTGTCATAACTCCAGAGGTCTGAAAAAATGATACTCCTATGTTATATACGATAATTAAAGACTGAAGAACGCAATAAACAACTCAAAAAACCTAGAACAGTTTTATTTAAATTTCCTTTTGAGTTTATTATTATCTTATAATTTGCGAAAAGTGATAGATCATAATGAAAAATTTCCTGTTAAAGTAGAGGTTTCCGCTTCCGAAGCGAAAAGTGAGTATTTGTGTCTTATGTTCGCCTACTCTAACTCTTTAGCTTATTTAATTAAAAGTGACGAAGGACAAGTAGTGGGAACCATCATTAAATGTAAACACTCTAACATTATTTTTAAATAATTCTAAACACCTTATGATACTTAGTTATTTTTTAAAAATTTGTAAACTGTTAAAATTAAAGATAGAGAATTAAACAGAGATGTTGGTTTCATTTAAACTAGTGATGTATTTATACAAGGCTTTTATAAACAGTTGCACGGTCTTTTTAGTGACTTTCTTGTTGCGGAATAAAAAAAAGTATAAGAAAAGTTAGTTACTTGGGGAAAAGAAAAATTTGCCAATAATATGTCGTAAACAAGAACGAAGATACAAATAGCATTAAAATAAACCTAATTTTATAATAAGTGAGATTTCTAACATCATACTTTTATTCAAAAACAGTTTAGGGATCCGATTGCTGAGATATCATTGTTCTTACTGTCGTAAAAAATTTCGTTAAAAGTTAAGAAGTGTAAATTTCCTTTGTGGTGTGATAAGACAAAACTAACAAATCTCGTAAACACTTTTATTTGTTTTACATAAAAATACATCTAATAATACATTGTACAAAACTACATAACATGAAAATACACAAGAAAGCAGAAATGAAAATAAATACAAAGAAGAAAAACTGGCCAAGTAAAACTACCAGCTCCTACGAGGAGAAAACTAAGTCAAAAGAAGAAAGAATCGAAACATAACTAGTAGAAAAGCACTCCTAAAACTACAATGACTTTTAAATACAACATAAAAACAAACTCAAACTCAGTTGTACTTCTGCTGAGTACTTGGAATCTGGTAGCTGTAATTGTGACGATTTTCGTTCCTGAAACTAAAAGGAGGACTTTGGAGGAGATTCAAGAGACACTTGGTGAGAAGAAAGCTGGTGTGAAGTCGTAGATACCAAATAATAAAGAAAATGGTGTGTTTTCTTCTTCTTTTTTCGTTTTCTATATATATTTTGTTGATATTTTATGTTATGTGTTTAAAAAGTTTATTTTATTATAACTTAACTTTTTAAGATACTTACCTAACAAAGTTTGTATCATATATTACAACAAATGTTCAGCTGTGAACGATACTCACCGCTTCGCTTTGAGGTGTAAATGTTAAATTGCGAATTAATGTCAATGTCACCTAATTAAGTTGGTAACTGCCACCGACTGTAAAATAACCTTAACTAAAGAAAGACAAACTAATTATTACTTAGTTTAATGATTTTAAACCTATTTTTCACTTTTTTTTAACAACAACAACGATAATATTACAATGCAATTGGCGTAATAAAGTATACAAAGAGTTTAACGCTTGAGATCATACATAATTGATAAGATATGTAAATCCTGAAGATAAACCAACTCCTTAAAAAGTTTTTGTTTCGCTGTTATATTAAAGATATAACACTTTGTATGAATAGGATTTAGGAAATTTCTTCGTAGACAAAATCTGAATTCCGTCCATAGTCGACACTTTATTTTTTTATTCGTTCTATTTTTAGACACCGCGAAATTAAGTGATGGTTACTCAAGAATTAGTACAAGTACTCACATTAATATAAACTAATTAAACTCGCAACAGATGTTGAACTTCAACAATGAGCCTTACACAGACAGCCATGTACCAGCCTAGACGACTCTACCAATACTTAACAGCCTCCACTGGTAGGTTTTTTAATCATTATTCCCTGTTCTACAAAAACACTTTCAGCTTTACTTACTATCGTAACCGGCGGCTTACACTATGCTTGGCCATCACCTTCCATCCCCCAATACATATCAGGGAACACCACCTCCTTCAAAATAACCAACGACGAAGGTTCCTGGATCATCGTAATGCAACTTATAGCACCCATACCATCCTGCTTTCTTGGAGCAGCCATTATTGACGTAATCGGTCGCAAGAAATCGATTCTGCTGACAGCAATTCCTTACATGATCGGATGGTTGATGGTAGTGTTCGCTAAATCAGGAGTGGAACTTTGCATAGCCCGATTTTTCGCTGGTATTTCCGACGGGGTGGCTTTCACAGTCATACCATTGTACATTGGAGAAATCGCAGACCCAGAAATTCGGGGGTTGCTGGGTGCTGGTATATCAGCAACTTGGATTTTTGGAATGTTGATAATAAACGTGGTGGGGTCATACTTGAGTGTTACCATGACAGCGGCCATATGCACAGTAGTGCCGTGTCTTCTTCTCGTAACGTTCGTATGGATGCCAGAAAGCCCATATTTTTTGATAATGAAGAACGACATAGAAGCCGCTCGTTCCGCTTTAAGGAAGTTTAGAGGAAGAACAGATGTAGAAGAAGAGTTGATGAGGCTGGAAGAAGCCGTCAAGAATCAAAACAAAAAGAACGGGAATGTCCTGGAACTGTTTTCCAAAAAAAACAATCGAAAAAGTTTGGGCATAATCGCGGTTTTACGAAATAGTCAACAGATGAGTGGAGTGGCGGCTATAAGTTTCTACACTTTGACCATTTTTCACGAAGCTGGTGATTTTATGTCGCCTTTGGCTGCGACCATTCTTTACGTGGTCATACAGTGCGTGATGACGATTCTGTGCTCGATTCTCGTAGACAAGACTGGTCGGAGACCTCTTCTAATATCGTCACTCATCGGTTCAAGTATTTGTTTGTTCGTCGAAGGAAGCTATTTTTATGTTAAAGACTTCACTGATATTGATGTTAGTTCTTTTAATTTCGTACCAGTGGTAGCACTTATAGGTTACGTCGTGATTTTTAATCTAGGTGCTCAGCCTATTCCTATGTTGGTACAAGGGGAGCTTTTTCCCACGAATGTTAAAGGTTTGGCGTCTTGTCTTTCCGAGGTGTATTTTTGTATTTTAGCGTCCATTTTTTCCAAGTGCTTTCAAGTGATGCGTGATAATTTTGGTATTTATGTGCCATTTTATATATATGCGGTGTGTTGTGTGATTAATTTGATTTTTGTGGTACTGTTTGTACCTGAGACGAAAGGGAAGACGCTGGAGGAGATTCAAGAGGCTCTTTGTGAGAGGAAGAAAGAGAAGGGAGGTAGTTAGGTGTAGATTTTTGTAAGTAGTTAGAAATCAGATGAACAAAGTTATTTTGTAGATACGTTTGATTTATAATCAATTTCTTCTTCTTGTGATAACTCTAGAGATCTGAGAAAGATGATACGACTGAACAACACAATAAACAACTCAAAAAACGTAGAAGAGTTTTATTGAAATTTCCTTTTGGTTTTGTTATTATCGTAGCAACAAGAACAATTATTTTCTTAATTTGCGAAAAGTGATACGAGTAAATCATAATCAAAAATATCTTTTAAAGTCAAGGTTTCCGTTTCTGAAGACAAAAATCACTACTTATACTCGCCTATTCTTAACTCTTTAACTTATTTAAAAGTGTAAAATAATTCTAAACTCCTTATGATATCTGTTTTTTAAAAATGTGTAAACTGTCAAAAATTAAAGATAGAGTGTTTAACAGAGAGGCTGGTTCCATCTAAAATAATCATGTATTTATACAGGAATTTAAGATTGCACGGTCCTTTTAGTGACTTTCTTGATGCGGAATAAAAAAATTGGTCTAAAGAGTTTAGACAGTACTTCCCTCGCTGTCGGAAACTTGACGACTGCATGCCTATTGTGTTTTTTTTCTCATTACATTTTTGTAGTGGGAATTTAAAAAAAAATTGCGATGATGTAATCAACATTTTTGCAAGGACACGTATATCAGTTGGGATAGCTGTAGTGTAATACTAAGAATAAAATTATTATATTCTCAAATTTTCGGGAAAATGAATTGGGTCGTTTTGAATATTGATTTGTAATAATCAATAAAATAACGAAACAATTTACTCACGTATACGTATCAGAGGCAACTGAAAATCGTGTATGTATAAACATTCTTAATTTAAGATGACAGGCGTAACAGCATACGTGAGAGTCAAACAGAGAAACTGTAAACAAAACGACCATCGGATTTATTGCTTCGACTTCCGCTTATTATATTAAACATTGGGTTTTATTTTAATTCTTGACGGTGAAATTCACAATTGGTTGATTATAAACATGTCTGTTTCACATTCGCGGAACCAAGTGAGCGCATAAAACAAATGCAGGTCTGTAATGTTAAAGTCGATGTAAATAAGCGTGCTACCCTTATGTTTTAACCGAGTTTTTCCTTTAACAAATTTTGTGTCTACCAAATTGGGTTGGTTGGGGTGTAATACTAATAATAAGTGTTGCCTTTAATTTAATCAATAAAATAAATTGACTTCATTAATTTTTTTGAACCACCTCTTAAGAAAATCTAAAAAATATGAATGGAATGATAAATCACAAGTACAGACTCATCATATTTTGTACATTTTAGATACGATTTATTCGGCAAACTTTTGAGCTGACGTCATCAGTTTTTTGTAGAAGATAACCAAATATATTTTGACTAAAAATGTATTATGCTCTTTATAACCTTAAAACATCTGCAAGATTTCAAAGCATTCGGTTTTGTAGTTCCTGATTAAATCAATAAAATAAATTTACGCATTCATTAATTTTTTTGAGTCACCCTGTAAATGCAAATCGAAAACATTTGAATGGAATGATATATCACAAGAAGAGACTCACCATATTTTGTACATTTTAGATAGGATTTATTCAGCAAAATTTTGTGGTGACGTCATAAATTTTTTAGGGGGGACGACCAAATACGTTTTGATCAAAAATTTACCATGCTTATGATAATTTTAAAATATCTTCAAGATTTCGAAGCATTCGGTTTTGTAGTTCCTGAGTAAATCAGTAAAATAAATTTACGCTTTCATTTATTTTCTTGAATCACCCTGTATATGCAAATCCAAAAAATATGAATGGAGTGATAGATCACAAGTACAGACTGATCATATTTTGTACATTTTAGATATGATTTATTCGGCAAATTTTCGAGCTGACGTCATCAAGTTTTTGGAGGGGATAAGCAAATATATTTTGACTAAACATTTATTATGCTCTTTATAACCTTAAAACATGTGCAAGATGTCAGAGCGTTCCTGATTAAATCAATAAAATATATTTACGCATTCATTAATTTTTTTGAGTCACTCTGTATACGCAAATCCAAAAAATATGAATGGAGTGATAAATGACAAGTACAGGCTCATCATATTTTGTACATTTTAGATATGATTTATTCGGCAAACTTTCGAGCTGACGTCATCAAGTTTTTGGAGGGGATAAGCAAATATATTTTGACTAAATATTTATTATGCTCTTTATGACCTTAAAACATCTGCAAGATTTCAGAGCATTCGGTTTTGTAGTTCCTGATTAAATCAATAAAATATATTTACGCATTCATTAATTTTTTTGAGTCACCCTGTATATGCAAATCCAAAAAATATGAATGGAGTGATAGATCACAAGTACAGACTCATCATATTTTGTATATTTTAGATATGATTTATTCCACAAACTTTTGAGCTGACGTCATCAAGTTTTTGGAGGGGATAAGCAAATATTTTTTGACTAAAGATTTATGATGCTCTTTGTAGCCTTAAAACATCTGCAACATTTCAAAGCATTCGGGTTAGCAGATTAAAAATTAAATTTCAAAATGTTGTTTTATAATTTTGATTTTTTTTCCAAAAATCTGGACGTTTCGGGTGAAAAGTCGATTCAGAGTTGTAAACTACATGTGTAGGACTATGTTATTTTATACAATTGAAAACCCATTTACTATGTACAATTTTGAAGTGACGTCATCGCATTAGTGGTGGGGATGATTAGACAAATTTTGGTTAGCGTTTTACCATCCACATGATATTCTTAATATAAGTACAAAATTTCACAACAATCGGTCGAGTACTTTCGGAGATTATCTGTCTAATAAAAATCCGGGACAACAGACGGACAGACGGACAGACGGACGGACAGACGGACGGACAGACGGACGGACAGACGGACAGACGGACAGACAGACGGAAATGGGAGACCTATTTCTTCGTCTTCTAGGGGTCATGAAAGATCGAGAAAACGTAAAAGTAGAGAGTCGGCCGACGGACTCGATTACAATACTTCCTTTGCTTACGCTCGGGAAGTAAAAAGTAGAAGAAAAGTTAGTAACTTGGGGAAAGGAAAAACTTGTCAATAATATATCTTAAACAACAATGAAGATACAAATAGCATTAAAATAAGACTAATTTTAAGATAAGTGACACTTCTAAAATCATATTTTTATTCAAAAATAGTTCAGAGTATCCGATTACTGAGATACTATTGTTCTTAGTGTCGTAAAAAATCTCGTTAAAGTTTAAGAAGCGTAAATTTCCTTTGTGGTGTGATAAGACAAAACAAACAAATCTCGTAAACACTTTTATTTGTTTTATACAAAAATACATCTAATAATACATTGTACAAAAATACATAACATGAAAATACGCAAGAAAGCAGAAATGAAAATAAATACAAAGAAGAGAAACTGGCCAAGTAAAACTACTAGCTCCTACGAGGAGAAAACGAAGTCAAAAGAAGAAAGAATCGAAACATAAATAGTAGAAAAGCACTCCTAAAACTAGAATCACTTTTAAATACAACATAAAAACAAACTCAAACTCAGTTGTACTTCTGCTGAGTACTTGGAATCTGGTAGCTGTAATTAGTGATACTTTCAGCGCTGTTGTGCTGCGTTTGCGTCGGCCTGTAACTACTCTTCACATAGTCGCTCTTTCCAGAAACAGTACTAGAAACCTCTTTCAAACTCTGCTGAATAGCATTAGCTTGAGCTTGAGCTTGCTGCTGCTTGTAGTACTGCACTTGCAAAATCGACGGCACGTACGAATCCAACAAACTCTTCGGTTCCTGCTTGAAAATCGGTACTTCTTGCTTGTACACCGGAGTCTTCTCCGGTACGTACTTAATCGAAGGAGTCACTTCAGGTTGCTGGCTCGCAACGTATTGAGTTTCCGGTAGGACGAAGCTTTGCTGGTCGTTGGCATAAATCACACTTTCGTAGTTCTGGGTTTGCTCAGCTTTGGGTGCGTACTGGGGTACGTACATTACGTATTGAATTCCCCCTTTGGGGTCAACGACGCTCTGAACGGCAGTACTGGGGGCTGAGTACTGCTGCAAGTAGACGTACTGAGGGGTGTAGTACTGCTGCTGCGCTACGCTGTTATCTGACACGTATTGCAAATTGGCGTATTGGTCGTAGAGGGTGGGTTGGTTGGTGGGTTGGTAGTAGTACTGTTGGGGTACGGAGTATTGTTGAGGGGGCGGCGTGTACTGTTGTTGCGGTGCTGGGGGTGGTACGTACTGGACATACTTCGGTTGTTGTCTTGCATAGTCGGTCGCAGTTTTGGCCGGTAAGAATCCGTAAGTGGTGGATAGTTTTTGAACTGGTACTGTTCGGGGGGATTTATTGCCTCGTAAATTGTCTCTTTCTATGTCATCGAGACTGATTTTCTTGTCCTTGGCCGCGACCGACGCCAACACACAACAAATGGCGACGAAGTATCTCTGCAAAAAAACGAAATCAAATTAAAGTACTTTCATTTTAAGTAGCACAGCTGCATTGGTCGGTACGATGGATTTTAAAAAAGGGTATTATATTTCTTACATGTGGACGGATATAGTTATCTACATCTCATCGGGTGAAAGTGTATCGAGACATAATGGAAGTTGAGGAAGCCGACACGTGATATGTTCGTTTTGCAAATTTATTTTAATTTATGTCATAATAATGGCTTTATTGTGTAAATTTCTTTACACGATATCCCTTGTCTGGGCGTCATTTAGTTCTCTTGTTGTTGGTTTCTCTCGTGGGCGATTTATTGGAGGAATTTCGGATTTTGGAAAGTAAAAGGAAACTTTGTGGTAAATAATGATCGCCATTACAACTAAATAATTTAAATATTCAGAAAAAACGAAAAATTTGTACATATTTAATTTAACCGATGATAATTATCATCGGTTAAATTCGACATCAGCACGTGTCACCATTGTAACTATTCGACATAAGAAAGTTCCGAATGTTATGTCCAAGTCATGATGGATGCGTGTAATCGGATTATCTTGTAATTGAAATTTAATTCTCTTTTTCGTCGTAATGAATCCATTCTAATGTCACTTAAAAAATATTCCTGGGTGATAGACATTCACTCCTCTGTCGTGATGTCATGATTAATTTAATAAGATCATACGAAGAGAAAGTGTCCCGAAACTTTTTCACATACTTGAAACTTTAATAATAACCGTCTTTCCGGAAATTCTGAGAATACCCACTAATCATAAGTTGGGTGAGGTCGAGTGAAATATATCCAACCTGAACGAATCTACCATAAAGTAGGTTTCATAATTTATTGTTGTGACATGCAGTTATGAGGGTACCAAGACTTGATACGCTAGGAAAAAATGGTGTTATTTTGTAGAAAATGCACGGGTATATTTAGCTACAAGATTTCACTGCTTGTGTGGAAATTAAATACAAAATTGCTTGTTACGAAAGCTTTGAGCAAGATTTTAATATCTTGTAAACCTGAAATATGCAATAAATTTTGATTGTGTTTCAGGTTTTATTTTTTCAGTTTTAGGTTAATGTGGCGTTATATAAACAAGAAAATGCATTTCGAAGGATCGTCGGGTCTCTACATGGAGTAAAATATTTTTTTAAGTAACGAAAACTTAGTTTTCCGAAATAGTTAAAGTACTCGACTAGAGTAATTTTGACTTATTTTCAGTTTTGTTTTTTTGGGGTTCCACAGTGTGTAAAATGCAAAAAACTATAAGTTTTTTAATTTTTAACAAATGTAAAAAATGGCATCAAAATGAAGACATAAATCACGAACAGGATTTTTTATACTTTTTTTTTTGACAGTGCAAAATTAGCATAATTAATTTAATTCCGTTCAAATTAACATTAAATCTTTTTACGAAGTGGTTGCTAAGAACTGAATGAAAAGCTCGTTGTGGCCTTGTATTCATAATTCTTTAAAATTATACTACTAAAACACCATTATAAATTTTTGTTGTGAATATTTAGTGTGGTAAGTATTAGGTTATTAAAAAAAGTGAATACAATAAAAAAACGACTCTGTACACTACCAGCTTTATTCCACCACACTAAAAATTCCCAAAAATTGCCTCCCAATTACACTCTATTGTCTTCGCCGCCACGACACTGCCACACTATTGTCACCTTAGCAAAAATGAAGAAAGTACTTACCATGCTGTGAAAGTGAAATGATACAGTTAGGTAGAAGGATCGACACGAAATAATGATCCACCACAAGAGCAACTTCCATTTGTACTTTCGTAAGTGAGCGGTGCCCACCCTACCAAAAGCTAATATGGTATCTTCGGATGACCGGGCGGCTATTTTTACGCCTCAACGCAATCCCCATATTCGCTAGCCTTAAGGTACATCACATTTCCTGTCGGCGATTATTAATGACCCAAGGTAGGGCTCTTCTCGTCCACTTATTATTTTTATTATTGTACGTTGACCTAAGAAAGTGGCTAAGTGGTTTAAAACGCAATTCCGCTGCAGTGGACGTGAAAATCGGTGCAGAGCTAGGTCGAGTGAAAATTCGCACTGCAGGGTGTCCGGTTGTTGGGTTTACGGGATAATGATAATGCAGCGATTATTTATTACTGATGTTTGTATTAGGGACAAAATTTTGGACAGACGGATTTATGGTTGTTGGTTTATCTGCGAGAAATGAAAGTCAAGAGACAAGAGATGGAGTTTTTATTGAGATGAATTTATGCATGAGGGTTTTTTTTAAACAGCGGGTTTTAATATTCAGAAGCTATAAAAACACACATATTATTAAAAAGACTCTAAATTTTAAAACTTATTTTTTTAGTTGTCTGAATTGTTTTCTCAATTTTTTATTTTTTATTTAATTCGTTAAATTTAGTGATTTTGGTGAATATCTCACTTTAAATGTACATCATTCTTTATAATGAGAATTTTGTTCTTTAGAAAAATAGTAAATTTTACTTGTAATTTTGACAAGTTAATTGATTCAGAAATATTTAAAGATAGACAGTTGGTCTAGATATGGAATACATAAGTAGGACGGAAGATAAATCAAGAAGGAAACGTGAGATAAAAAAATACATACATAGCTTTTGAGGAATAGCAAATGAAAAACCAAATGAAAAAATAATGTAGACACAAAAAAATAATTATCTATATAAGTTACTCTGATTAAAGTGCGAACAACAAATAAATTTGAAATAACGTATGTCAAAATAAAACATAAGTGGAATAAACAACAAAATAGAGAAAAAGATGTAAATATAAATTAAAAATATATAACAAAGAGATGACTGGATTTTTCATACAAGAAGGAAAAACTGTTTCAAGTTAAGAAAATATGAATAAATGACACAGGATAAAAATATCTAATAAAAAAAGAACATGATTTTATCAAAAAAATCCACATGCAGTTTCGAATATAACGTTCTAGGAATCTCAAATTTTCAAAATTAATATTGATTATTAAGTATATATTTTTTGTTACATGTATATGCAGAATTGATTGTACTTCGGAGACCAGGAAAGTTCTGTTTAAGTAACTTTGGACTAGTTTTTTTATTCAACCAACATCATTTCATATTTATTTCTATAAAAAAGTAATACATATTTACAATTTATAAACATTTAGGTTTTCTTATACCGATTTTTTTCTTTAAAAAAAAAAAAGTGAAATTTACATTTCATTTTGGGCAGTGGAAATTTTTTGTCACAATCTAAAATTTTCTCATAATTTCCACTTTTTTGAAAAGACATTTTCAACAAAAATTTGAAATTTTCTGGTAATTCTGTATCAAAATTAATAACTAGAAAGAAGAAAAAACGCGAAAAAATTTGTACAGTAATATTTAAAAATAAGGCGGTCTAAATGTGAAATATATAAGTAAGATCGTCTCTTCCAGATTAAGAAGAAAATATGAGATAAAAAAATATATGCAGCTTTTGAATTATAACAAATAATGAAAAAATAAATTAAAAAATACACAAAGAAATAAAATTCTCGATTTAAGTTGCTCCGGTTAAAGCACGAACAACAATGAAATTTGATATAACATTAGGTTAAAAAATAAGTGGAATAAGCAACAAAATAGACGAAAAAGACCTAAGTAAATTTAAAATATACCTATAAAAAAGAGATAACTGAATTTTTCATAGAAGACGGAAAATTGTGTCAAGTTTAGAAAATAATAATGAATTTTATCGAAAAGATCTACATGTAGTTTCGAATATACCGTTCCAGAAATCTAAATTAATATTTTTTGTTATTACTTATATTTTTTTCTCACATGAATGCAGAATTGATTGTACTTCAGAGACCAGGAAAGTTCGGTCTAAGTAACTTTGGATTTTTTTTTTTAGTCTAAGAACCTCATTTCATAGTCATTTTCATAAAAAAGTAATGCATATTTACAAATTCCAAAAATTGGATTTTTTCATACAAACTTTTTCTTCTTGAGAATTTTGGTCTTTAGAAAAAAGCCAATTTTACATATAATTTTGAGTAGTTGATAATCACTTGAAATTTTTGGCATGGACATTTTGAATTTTAAAAAGAAATTTTCAAAAAAAATTATAATTTTCTGGTAATTCTATATTAAAATTAGTAAGTACAGGAAAAGCAAGGCGAAGAAATTTGTAAAGAAATATAATTAAGATGGAAGACAGATTAAGAAGAAAAGATAAGATAAAAAAATATATACAGCTTTTGAATTATAAAAAAGAATGAAAAACCAAATGAAAAAAAACAACATAGATACAAAAAAAATCTCTATATAAGTTACTCAGGTTAAGGCACGTAAAACTATGAAATCTGAAATAATATTAGAATAAAAAATAGCGAAAAAAGAACATAAATGTAAATTAAAAATATATACAAAAAGATGACCGAATTTTTCATACAAGAGAGGAAAAACTGTTTCAAGTTTAGAAAATATGAATGAATGACATAGTGTAAAAAAGTGTCTAATTAAAAAAAACAGAATTTGATAGTAAAAAATCCACAGGTAGTTTCGAATTCTCAAATTTTCAAAATTAATATTCTGCGTAAGATATTTTAGTTTAATACTTATATTTTTTTCTCACATGAATGCAGAATTGATTGTACTTCAGAGACCAGGAAAGTTCTGTTTAAGTAACTTTGGGCTATTTTTTTTAGTCTAAGAACATCATTTCATAGCCATTTTCATAAAAAAGTAATCCATATTTACAAATTCCAAAAATTGGATTTTTTTCATACAAACTTTTTCTTCATGAGAATTTTGGTCTTTAGAAAAAAGTTAATTTTATATATAATTTTGAGTAGTTGATAATCACTTGAAATTTTTGGCTTCGACATTTTGAATTTTAAAAAGAAATTTTCAAAAAAAATTAAATTTTCTGGTAATTCTATATTAAAATTAGTAAGTACAGGAAAAGCAAGGCGAAGAAATTTGTAAAGAAATATAATTAAGATGGAAGACAAATTAAGAAGGAAAGATGACATAAAAAAATATATACAGCTTTTGAATTATAAAAAAGGATGAAAAACCAAATGAAAAAAATAACATAGATACAGAAAAATCTCTACATAAGTTACTCAGGATAAAGCACGTGAAACAATGAAATCTGAAATAATATTATAATAAAAAATAGCGAAAAAAGAACAAAAATGTAAATTAAAAATATATACAAAAAATGACCGAATTTTTCATACAAGAGAGGAAAAACTGTTTCAAGTTTAGGAAATATGAATGAATGACATAGTGTAAAAAAGTGCCTAATTAAAAAAAACACAGAATTTGATAGTAAAAAATCCACAGGTAGTTTCGAATTCTGAAATTTTCAAAATTAATATCCTAAGTAAGATATTTTAGTTTAATACTTACATTTTTTTCTCACATGAATGCAGAATTGATTGTACGTCAGAGACCAGGAAGGTTCTGTATATGTAACTTTGTACTATTTTTTTTAGTCTACGAACGTCATTTCATAGTCACTTTCATAAAAAAGTAATGCATATTTAGAAATTCCAAAAATTGGATTTTTTTCATACAAATTTTTTCTTCTTGAGAATTTTGGTCTTTAGAAAAAAGTGAATTTTACATATAATTTTGAGTAGTTGATAATCACTTGAAATTTTTGGCTTCGATATTTTGAATTTTAAAAAGAAATTAAAAAAAAAAATTAAATTTTCTGGTAATTCTATATTAAAATTAGTTAAGTACAGGAAAAACAAGAAATTTGTAAAGAAATATAAGGAAGAAAGTTTTTTTTTATAGGGTAAAAGAGTGCTTAATAAAAAAAAACAGAATTTGATAGTAAAAAAACCACAGGTAGTTTCGAATTCTCAAATTTTCAAAATTAATATCCTAAGTAAGATATTTTAGTTTAATACTTACATTTTTTTCTCACATGAATGCAGAATTGATTGTACGTCAGAGACCAGGAAAGTTCTGTCTATGTAACTTTTAGTCTAAAAACATCATTTCATAGTCATTTTCATAAAAAAGTAATGCATATTTACAAATTCCAAAAATTGGATTTTTTCATACAAACTTTTTCTTCTTGAGAATTTTGGTCTTTAGAAAAAAGTGAATTTTACATATAATTTTGAGTAGTTGGTAATCACTTGAAATTTTTGACTTCGATATTTTGAATTTTAAAAAGAAATTAAAAAAAAAATTAAATTTTCTGGTAATTCTATATTAAAATTAGTTAAGTACAGGAAAAACAAGAAATTTGTAAAGAAATATAAGGAAGAAAGTTTTTTTTTTATAGGGTAAAAGAGTGCCTAATAAAAAAAAAACAGAATTTGATAGTAAAAAATCCACAGGTAGTTTCGAATTCTCAAATTTTCAAAATTAATATCCTAAGTAAGATATTTTAGTTTAATACTTACATTTTTTTCTCACATGAATGCAGAATTGATTGTATGTCAGAGACCAGGAAAGTTCTGTCTATGTAACTTTTAGTCTAAAAACATCATTTCATAGTCATTTTCATAAAAAAGTAATGCATATTTACAAATTCCAAAAATTGGATTTTTTCATACGAACTTTTTCTTCTTGAGAATTTTGGTCTTTAGAAAAAAGTGAATTTTACATATAATTTTGAGTAGTTGATAATCACTTGAAATGTTTGGCTTGGACATTTTGAATTAAAAAAAAAAAATTCAAAAAACAATAACATTTTCTGGTAATTCTATATTAAAATTAGTAAGTACAGGTAAAGCAAGGCGAAGAAATTTGTAAAGAGATATAAGTAAGATGGAAGACAAATTAAGAAGGAAAGATGCCATGAAAA